CCCCAAAACCCCAAAACCCCAAAACCCCAAAACCCCAAAACCCCAAAACCCCATTTTAAAGAATTAAATTTGAGATTTATTTCGAATCCGCAGGTATATTTTCATTCTTTGTGAAGTCATTCCAGAAGAACTTTGTTGCAGCTCAATTGTTGATCTCTCTTCTTGCAATATAATTAAGGAATTCATAGTAATCCTTGATCTGTCTTTCTTTGAATGTAGGGATGATATTTTCAGCTATATAGCAGTTTATCATTTTGATAATCACATCTAGCTCTTTAGCGTCATTCTCTAGCTTTTCTATGTCAGAGGTGAGAAAAACTGCTCTATTTTGTTTGGAAGATGTTGATTGGAACAAAGACTTCCAGGTCTTTTTACCACTGTTGATAGTATCCAATTCACTCTTCTCACTCTTTTGTTTGTTGAGAAGTTTGACTTTATTTTGTACGACCTTGTCTCTCCCGTTGACAGCATCCAAAGCGGCTTCTATATCTCCAAGAGTGCTTCTGATCCAGAAATAGAAATCTTTGAAAGTATTGGAATAAAATTTCCCGATTCCTTCTGCTTTTGCTTTCATTTCAGGGTCTTCTGGGTTATCGATGACCATCCTGGAGATGTCATCATCAGCAAACTTTATAAGGCCATTTGACTCATATTGAGACATGGCCTCAACAAGTGCTGAAGTACGCTTGTTCATAACTTCTCTTGAACTCACCATTTTCTTTGCTTCCTCTTTAATTGTTTTGAGTGTAGGAATTATTTTCTTAAGGAAGGCCTGGAAGTCATTCACTTGTTCTCTAGATTGATTTACTAAGGCCTCTTCAAGCTCAGTGCTAACCTCTAGCTCGTTTTCTAATCGCTTTCTTAAATCTTCAGGAGAGATATTTCCTAGCGAATTAAAAGTTGCCGAAATATCTCCAGCTGGCTTGGAGAACATCTGAAACTCATCAGATTTGATTAAATGTGGGATTTTGCTGATCTTCTTCATGAATTGATCCAACAAATGCATTCTGTGAGATACAAATTTGTCCTTCTTGTTTCCAACACTCTGTTTTGGAGGAATTGGTGGGACATATACACCTGGCCATCTATTGACGAGTGCTTGTCTCAGACTATAAAAATCTTTGTATCTCCTACTTCCTTGGAATGGTCCATCCTTATCTTCTCCAGTGACTGTGTAGCTGATATGTCCTGCTTTTACAGGTTGGGAAACAGACCAAGTCAAATCTTCCTCTTGAACATTAGGATAAGGAACATCGAATTGGAATTTATTTTCTGACAAATCTTGAGTTTCTTCAATATCATCTTCACTGCTAGCATCATCTCCAAGGTCATTCTTAGAGACAGGAGATACATCGCTCTCAGTAAGGAGTTGTGTTTCCCGAGAAGCTGGATGAACCTCGACAGTCTCTCCCAAATTTTGGTCTGGAGCTTCCACTTCTGGCTTATACTCGATCTTTTCTTCTTCCTCGTCTGAGTCAAAGAGTCCGTTCTTTTCCATTTCTCCAATGAAATTCTATGATTACAAATTGAAGAGGGGTTTTGGGGTTTTGGGGTTTTGGGGTTTTGGGG